GATATTCTGATGCTGATTATGGTGGATGTAAAATTGATAGAAAGAGTACTAGTGGAACATGTCATATATTAGGATCATCTTTAGTATCTTGGCATTCTATGAAACAAGCATGTGTTGCATTATCCACAACTGAAGCTGAATATATTGCAGCTGGTAATTACTGTGCACAAATCCTATGAATGAAGCAACAACTAGAAGATTATAATATTTTTCTAGATAATATTCCTTTGATGTGTGATAATACAAGTGCAATCAATCTTACTAAAAAATCCAGTAATGCACTCTAGAACTAAGCATGTAGAGATTAGACATCATTTCTTAAGATATCATATTAGTAAGGGAAATTGTAAAATTGAATATGTTGTTGATACAAAGCATCAATTAGCAGATATTTTTACTAAACATCTTCCCAAAGATAGATTCTATGATCTTAGAAGAGACTTAGGAATATTAGAAATAGCATAAACTCTACTTAACTGACCAATTTTTGCATTGATTGAGGGGGAGTTATTTTCTATATTATGCACTTATTGAGCGGGAGCTTTCATTTTTTTATCATAATCAAAATAGGGGGAGAACTTAACTGACCAATTTTTGTATTGTTTGAGGGGGAGTTATTTTCTATTTTATGCACTTATTAAGGGGGAGCTTTCATTTTTTTATCATAATCAAAATAGGGAGAGAAATTATTTAAATTCTCTTATGTTTATTATGTTTACATCTTATATTTATTAAATTTAAATGTTGTTTGGTATGTTTAATGTTTTTGTTAGCTGTGACAGACAAAACAGGTTATTACAAAGGGCTTTCAAGGAAATTTTGATCATCATAAAAAAGGGGAGATTGTTTAACATACAAGGATATGAATGTTGAACATACATGGATATGAAGCTTGTAGATTTTGATAATGATTCAAGAATAAAGGACTTAAAGATTTGAAGATTTGTAATGTTATATAATAACTCTGTTTTTATGTTTTTGAGTTTGTAATATTAGAGTCCAAGATAGTCAGCACATAGACCACTCTTTAAAAGCTCTAAAAACTCATTTTTATCTAAAACATACTGGAATAATCGATTAAATGGCAGGATAATCGATTATTACAGAAAGAAAACTATTTTCAGTCTTTGTTCTCTGGAATAATCGATTAAATGCCCTGTTAATCGATTAACTGGGCTGTTAATCGATTAATTGACCTATTAATCGATTAAATGATGTAGTTTTTGGTCCTCTACGAACATGGCTCTAGTATAATCGATTAACACTCAAGATAATCGATTATTTCAGTCAGATATGTGTTTTGAAATTCAAAATTGGACAAAGTTTCGAAAACCATATTCCCAATTCATCTGTTTTCGAAAATTCCCAATTTCCAAACCTTAATCTCTCTACTTAAGGTTCTCTAAAGCTCTCTAAAAATTGAACAACCTTTTTTAAACAAAAGTTAAGAGTTGTGACTGCCAGAGAACTGTTTGTTGGGAGGAAAAAGGGGTTTTTGAAACCTAGTGTGGGCTAGAAGCGATAAGAATCACTGAGTGGGTTTTCTTGGTGGATTATGTGTTGTGCCGTCTCTAGGGAAAGTTGTTCTTCATCCTTTGTGGATTCAAAGGAGGTGTTAATCTCTTGTGTGACTCAAGAGAGGTGTATTATTTACCTTATCTTTTCATTTGTAATTTGTTTGTGAAACTGTGATTATAGTGACAGCGTTAATCCTCTGTTTGAGTGATTAGCAACTGGACGTATGGTCTGTTGATCCGAACCAGTATAAATCGACTGTGTAATCTTCTATCCCTTCTTTATTTACTTTACACAACATTTTAATCAGTGAAATTTGGAGAAAATTTTAAAACCCTAATTTTTGTTTAAGAAACCAATTCACCCCCTTTTGGTTTTTGTATGTAAACGCAAATATTACGCTACGCGATTCTAACATAATTAATTACAATTAATCCATAGAAATCATAATCTTCACAATTTATTAATTATAATTTAAATTTCATATGTAATATTCGTAGAATCAATCCTATAAATAATATATTTAAAAAAAAAACTACTCAAATAGAATCTCTATTATTTTATCTACTCGAAGTAGATCAGTTTATTATTGACATGCATTTCTTTTTCTTTGACCAAAAATTCGGTCACTAAATGACCAAAATCGGTTACTTAACTAAAATAATGATCTGAAATAGTGACCAACTTGAATCGATCACTTTTTCTTTGGTCATCGATTTTAGTGACTCGAATCAGATGATCGATTCAATGATCGAATCAATGTGACCGATTCAATGATCGAATCAGTGACTAAATCAATGATTGATTCAATGATCGATTTTATGATCGAATATATATGACCAAATCAGTCACTATATCTCACTAATTTTATTTTTATTTTTTTATATTATTTTAAAATAACAATAAACCTATGAAATACATTATTTATTGTATTAAATATATAAAAATTTCACTACCTAAGATAACTATCAAAATAATACCACAAATTTAGTTCTAAATAAATTCATCATTCATAAATTAAATATTTTCTTACATATTGAAAATTCAATCTAAAAGTAAGTAGAATAAACTAAAATAAGAGTCATAATTCGGAAATAACGAAACTAACAAAACAATTACAATATACAAAATAGAATCAGTTCACAATTCAGGAGGTTGAACATCTATCTTCTCCATCAAGAGGAGTAACATTTTATAATTTTTCTGAATTTGTCTCTCATTAGTTAACATTCTTTCACGAAGATCATCCCTCTCAGTCTCAACTTCTTGTAACTTGTGTTTTAATTGTTCAATCTCCTTTCTCATAAGCTGGACAGATGATGATGTAGAATCGTGGCAAAGATTTCTCCAAATAAACTTTGATTGTGAGCCAATGGAAAAGAACTTTGATTGTTTTGAAGATTCCTCGGGAGAAGGAGGAAATAAACCTGATACAAAGGGGCATTTTGAAGCATAAAGAAGTGTCTGGTGCTCTGCAACAACATAATTTTTGTTCTTGTTGAGGAAAAATTCAGTTTGATAAGTGACCTACAAATGACACGGATTATATTATATGCAGCTTTCCGGACATGTACTTCTGCTATAAATGTATCCTATTTATTTACTAATTATATCTGGAAGAAAAAGTAACAATTTCCCCAACTTACATCTCCAGCATAATGGCAAATTGTAAAGTCACTACGTGATAATTTAGGCTTGTTAAACCTTTTATGGTTTTTGAGGGTCTGGTAAAGCTTTTGGGCAAAAGTTTCATGTGTAGATCTAGGAAACATATGCAAAGAACAAAAACATAGTTATCAGAGCATCAATATAATAGTCCATAGAATATGTTTTCTATCAGTATAAAATATACCAAGCTTCATCCAGAAGAGTGATAATGCCACCAGGTTTCTGAAAATGAATATGAGATCATTAGAGTCAAAATAAATTTCTATTGTAAATAATAAGTTTACAAATGGCAAACTGCACAAAGAAAACTATGATATTGATGTGCTAACAAAAATAATGGCAAAATAATACATTGATAATGTACATGATATTTTTCTATTTAAGGGAAGGGATTTGTGTGCACTCAACCAACAATTATCATTTCAAGGTCATTGTCAGATATACCTTCTTTTAATTCATTAAAAAATCCAACCTAGTAGCTAAACAAACAGAAGAATCACAACTTCGATGTTTTCATTCATTTAAACCCATAAACAAAATAGATTGTCCCTTTTCATGTCTCTCATTTGTTTTCAGAGTAAATTTTCAAGCTACTTCTTTTCAAGTCAACTGATTTTCAAACATTTCCCTCATTTAGTGCTTCTTTCTTTTGTAACCTTGATTTGTATGTCCACTCACCGATGCAATATTTTAATCTCCACAACAATTAGATTATGCTCCACAAACATATTAGTTAGGTGTGTAACAGTTTGGACACCAGCCTTTAAGACTTGCAACATTATGTATAATAATATTGTTTTAACAAGGGAAGAATGCTATTGCATCACTATACAACTTGTATCAATCATATTAGGTTAGCTTTACAACTTGTATCAAACATATTAGGTTAGCTTTACAACTTGTATCAATCATATTAGGTTAGCTATACAAGAATGCTATTGCATTATGTATAATAATAATAATAATAATAATAATAATAATAATAATAATAATAATAATTAGGTTTTTTCTAAAATTGAGTGTACTGTTTAAGGACACTTCAATCAATAACACTGGCTAAATCATTTCATCCACTCAAATTGACTCTTGAGGTTTATGTCTCTCATTTTTATGCCACTTTGAATGATAGATATGAGGAAACTAAATCGAGCAACCTATGTTATGTTATGATACTTTATTTTCACTTAAGCTATTACTAGAGTATACTTTACTGAACTGATATTTGATGTTATTCAATTTAACTACTGTTTAGAATGAAGCAAACAATTCAGTAACAGAAACATCAAAGACACTTTCCAGGCAAAAACTCAAGATGCTTCAACCAATGAAAATGCACTACTGCATCATCTTTCCATAAGCCAATTTTAGCAATTACATCTCTGCTCACAACCATATTTAATATATAATTTTTAACAGAAATGAATATATCCTGTACAAACCTGATTAAAATGTTGTTGAAGCTTTTCATTGGTCAAATTAATACAAAATTGCTCAAAACTGCAAATACAAATAACTACCAGGCATAACATACAAAATCAGCATCTTTACAGTAAAAAAAGGTAAAACTACAAAGGAATGACCTTACATCAAAATTTAGTTTAATATCAAACCAAAATAACAAATGGATATATCACAAGCCTTCTTGGTACATACCAAGTTTATAATGAGCTAAGGATGTACTAAATGATATGACAAATTCAATCTAGCATCTCATAATATGACAACTGTTAGTGGAGGAGGCCATCATTGACTCCCAAATAATCTATAAGTTTCTTGTTGCAATTGCAAGTGTTCACATGAAGACTCACCCATGTTAATTACACAACAAAAGGTGTGCCAGTTACAAACCTGTTAGCCTTGAAACTCTCAAAGCCATAAATAACCAGCACACCAATTAAGGATTTTGATTCAGGGTCTTGACCAATAGAATTATTAATTTTATCAACCAACCTACAAAATCAAGACAGAAAATTAAAGAAACAGAGATTAACACTTGGAGCAAACTGGCCAAACTTGGTAACTGTAACCGAGGTTCAAAAAACATATTTTTAAGCAATCTGCTACAGGCTTACCAGTCAAACAATCTTGAGTACACAATCTTTGCCAAGGCATCTCGGCTGAGCGCAGCAGCTTCTGGATCCAGCCATTTTGTAATTGTTTCGTCTCGAGTATATTACACGTTTGCAGAGAGAATCTTCAAGTGCTTTTGCATCACACCTACATAAAAGTTATGAGCCAAGGTGGAAAAGATAAAATGCAAACCTAGAAACAATGCAAGCGCAAAATGCTTTCTCACATGAAAAGGTCAGCAGCAGTCTGTAGATGGAACCAAGATTTTTCATCTCTGGGGTTAGGTCGAGGTTAGGGTTCGAGGTCACTGGGGTTGAGCTAGGGTTCGAGGTCACTGGGGGTTGAGGTATGGTTCGAGGTCGTTGGAGTTGGATTTGGGGGGTTTGCCTTGAGATTGGGGTTCGATGCCGCCGGAGTTAGGTTTGGGCCTCCAGTTCGTCGACCTTCAGGCTGGGGTTGAGGTTCGAATTCGCTTGGAGAGATGAAGAAATTGACACAAGCAAAAAGAGGCTGGGGTTAAGCTTGAACGACTGTTGCGCGAAGAAGATGAAGAAATTTGGGAAGCTACGAAGATGTCAAGAGCGGGAAGAAGAAAATGAAAATTTTCGAGGAAGAGGTAGCGCGAAGAGATAAAATTCAGAAGGTAATACTGAAATAATTACATAAATTAAAATTAAATTAATTAAAAAAAATAAAATTAAATAATAAAATGATCAAAATAGAAATCGATTTTATCTTACTCAAAATTTGGTTATTATTTCAGTTTCTAAATTAAAAATAATAATTTAGTTATTAATATAATAACTCAAATTTTCAGTCACTGATTTTAGTTATTATTTAACATTTTTTAGTAATGTTTATTTTTCTCTTATTTCTTGTCTTTCTCTCTCGTCTCCTTTTTATTCTTTTTCATTAAATTATTATATTGAAATTTAATAAAAATATATTAAAATCAATATTGAAACTAAAAAAATATTAATTAATTATTTAAAATTATGATGATAATAAATTATTTTATTATTATGATAGTAAATTATTTTATTTATAACTATGTAAATAATTAATTTAAAATATTTTCATAGTAAATAATTACTCGTTTAATTAAAAAAAATCAAATATTTGAGTTAAATGTATTTTTTATTTAGTAATTTAATTTAGTTATAATTAGATTGAGTTATGATAATTAATTAGATTAAGTAATTTAAAAAATATTTATTAAAAAATCAATTTAAAATAAATATTTTTATTTTTATTTTTTTTAAATAATAAAATACTCACCTTATCAAATTTTGATTTAATATTTTTAATTGAAGAATAAAATGGAATGAAAAAAATGAAAAAGAAAAATAAAACAATAACGAATAGACGAAGAATAAAAATTAAAAAAATAAATAAAAAAGAAAGATAAAAAGAAAATTGTATTATGTAAGATAATCAGTAAAAAAGAGGAAAAAAATAATTATATTATGTGAAATGAAGTAAATAGATTTAGTTGGATAAATAAATTTAAAAAATATTATTAATAAATTTTTTAAAATATATTATTTATGAGATTTATTCAATATTTATAATATAATATATATATATATATATATATATATATATATATATAAAAGATTTGTAAGAATGTTATTTTTATTTTCACGATAAATACATAAATTAATTGAAAATAGATAAAAAATAAGAATATAAAATTAAAATAAGTTATATTGTTTTAAAATTTGAAAACAATAGACGGAAAAAAATAAATCTAAAAGTACACACAAACACAAAGGAGGGAATAATTGAGGAAGAGGTTGATCAAGTTTCACGTGGAGAATTGAATAATGTAAACAATTTGAGAAAGGACCACTCATCCTTTCTGGCAATTTCTGCAACCTGACATTATTGTTGTTGAAATATTTAAATTACACGTGCTAACACAGTTTTTTGTTTCTACATTTTACTCCTCTTATCCACCCATATCATATCCTTATCAATATATCAATAATCTTGTATAAATAATATATTATCAAATAATGAATATAAAAAAATAAAGATGAAATTTGTAAATATATAAATATATTTAATAATTATGTTAAAATTATAAATATTAATATAACTTATAAATTTTAAAAAATAATTATTAAATTTTAATAATTAAAATCATATATATTAATAAAAATTTTGGACGTCGTAAACCCTGTTCTTCTTCCAACAACCTTCGTCTTCCAACAGCCTCAATCCTCGATGTCAACATAATGACAACAATGGAGTCGGTGTAAGACATAACTTCTACGGGCCATTCCTTGGCTCTACAAAATATCTGTTTTGTCTGCGTCCAAATTAACAAAAGTAGCACAACAGAACCATAAGATGATGAATATAACATTCTACTATTTTATTTTCTTAAAAGAAACTTACAGTCATTAATAAATTTATTAGAAATATTGTAAAAATAAAATTATTTTATTGACCAATGAGCCGTTGAATTCTAGATAAATCCCCAAATCTGTTATGGTGCTGCTGCAGGTTGTTTGCTTGCTTGGGTTGAGTATTAACATTACTAGGAGCTGAACAGAGCACAAACTCATAGAGGTAAGATCCAAAGTCACACACCCCACTAATAAAACTCACTATTTGTTGCACTGTTTGACTTTACATCTGATGAAAGAAGAAACTCTTACTTTTGTTGTTCCATGATTTTTGGCAGATAAACACAGTGAATCATGAATGCTATAGCGAGCGTGATATCAAGCGTGGCTGCACCTCTGCTGCGAAACATCACCTACGTGTTGATGTACAACAGTTACCTGACGGAGCTGGAAAGCGAGATTCAGAAGCTGCAGAGTGAGGAGAAGGAAGTGAGGCACACGGTTGAAGCTGCCAAGAGGGGTGGTGAAGAGATCGAAGACACCGTGCGTGACTGGTTCAACCGAGTGCGTGCAGCTGTGGAGCAGGGGCAGGCATTCCTTCAGGAGGAAGAGAGGGAAAGGGTTGGATGTATGGACGTGTACTTGAAGTACACTAACAGCCAGAGAGCAAGAACCTTGGTGGAGATTGTGAGGGAGGTAAGGAGTGAGACGTTCGACCGTGTTTCCTACAGGTGTGCCTTGAGATGCAATGTTGGTCCTGCTTCGAGAGAGTATGTTTCTATTCAATCGAGAACTGTGATGTTGAATGATGTTGTGAAGGTGCTGAAAGATGGTGGGGTTGACATTGTTGGAGTGTATGGGGTGGCTGGCGTGGGGAAGACTGCATTGGTGAAGGAATTGGCCTGGCAGGTTGAAAAGGATGGCTTGTTTGATGCGGTGGTGGTGGCAACGGTGACGGATTCGCCGGATGTGGGGAAGATCCGCAATGAGATTGCTGATGGGTTGGGGTTGAAGTTTGATGAGCTGACGGAGCTGGGGCGGGCGAGCCGGTTGCGCCAGAGGATCCGGCAGGAGCAGAGGATTCTTGTGGTGTTGGATGATGTGTGGGGGAAGCTTGATTTGACAAAGGTTGGTGTGCCTTTTGGTGAGGACTACAAAGGTTGTAAATGCCAGCTGTTGATCACATCCAGGAATCTTAATGTATTAAGTACTAATTTTGGGGCAGGGAAGGTTTACAGGCTTGAGGTTTTGTCTGAGGAAGAGAGTTGGGAGTTGTTTGAGAAGAGGGGAGGGGATGTGGTTAGGGATCCTAGCATTCAACCGGTGGCGGAAAAAGCAGCAAAAAGCTGTGGTGGTTTGCCTCTTCTGATAGTGACAGTGGTGGAGGAATTGAAGAACAAGGATTTATATGCTTGGAAGGATGCACTAGAGCAGATAACACGTTTTGAACTTGAAGGGTGTCTTTATTATCCTGTGAGTTCTGCTATTGAGCGGAGTTATGACCATTTGGAAAGTCAGGAACTGAAAACTTTCTTCCTGCTTTTGGGTTCCATGGGAAATAGTTGCAGCACGAGAGATTTGTTGGTGTTTGGTTGGTGCCTGGGACTGCACAAAAATGTTGATTCATTGGCAGATGGGAGAAACAGGCTTTACAAAATGATAGACAATCTGAGAGCTGCTTGTTTGTTACTGGATGAAGGGAAAAGAGATTCAATTGTAGCGCTTGAGGTGGTTCAACATGTGGCTGCCTCTATTGCATCAAGGGTCAAACCTTTCTTTACTGTGCAGAGAAACAAGGAATTGAAATGGCCCAGAATGGATTTCTTTAGAACTTGCCATCATATTTTCTTGGACTGGTGTTATATCCGCGAACTTCCTGAGGTGTTAGAATGTCCCAAATTGAAGATACTCCAAATAAATAGCCAAGGTAACTATTTGAAAATCCCTGATGATTTCTTTGTTCAGATGAAAGAATTAAAGGTGCTGAGTTTGGGCGGTCTAAATTGTACTCCATCGCTTCCTCCGTCTCTCAGTCTTTTGACACACGTCCAAGCATTGTATCTGTGTAAGTGCATGTTGGAAGACATAGCTGCTGTTGGGGAAATCACTAGTTTAGAGATTCTCAACTTCGAGAAATCTGAGCTTAAAGTGCTCCCAGCAGAAATAGGAGGATTAAGTAATCTTCGGTTCCTAGATTTGACTGATTGCTTAAAACTAGGAATAATTCCTGGCAATGTGATATCGAGGTTGACAAGCTTGGAAGAGCTCTACATGGGAAACTGTAATGTTCAAGGGGATGTCAACGAAAGCAAAAGCCAAAGCAATGATTCAAGTCTTAGTGAGTTGAAGAATTTGGATCAACTAACAACTTTGAATCTGCAGATAGAAGATACTTCAGTTTTTCCTAGAGACGTGCTTGGCTTTGGGAGACTAGAACACTACAAGATTTTGATTGGGGATGGATGGAAATGGTCTGGGGTGGAGTCTGAGAATTACAAAACTTCAAGACTTCTTAAGCTCAATTCGTGTGCAGATCCTAGCATTCTAAAGGACTATGGTATAAAGATGTTGATGAATATGGCTGAAGATTTGTATTTAGCTGAACTCAAGGGTGTTCGAGAAGTACTTTACGAATTGAATGATGAAGGGTTTTCGCAGTTGAAGTATCTTAACATCATAAACTGTGCTGAAATGGAGAGCATTATTGGCTCAACGGAGTGGGCTTATAGTGATCATGCCTTCCCAAACTTGGAATCATTGATCCTTCACAATCTGGTTAACATGGAGAGGATATGCAGTGACCCCCTTCCAGCACAGGGCTTTACGAAACTAAGAGTTATCAAAGTCACGGGTTGTGATAGGATGGAGTTTCTTTTCTCGCATTCCATGATTAAACACCTTTCTGAACTTGTTGAGATTGAGATTTCTGAATGCAAATCTATGACTAATATCCTAGCTGGGCAAAGACAACAGGATGCTGATGCTGAACAAACTGACAAGATCAGGCTCATCAACTTGCGTTCGCTTACTCTTCAATGCTTGCCGTCCCTTGTTAGTTTCTCTCCTGAGTCAAATACTGAGGCTCCTGAAAACGGAAATGGTTTCTCCAGTCAACTTTTTAATGACAAGGTACAAATATGACCTATTGTTCTTTTTTTTCAAAAACATCTTGTCTGTAGCAGTTTCAGTGCATTTGAAAATTTTAGTTTTTTATTTTTCTTTCCGATATGGTAACATTAACTCTGAAGAGAGGAACAATGACTGTAAACGAACACAAATGAATTGATTGATAGGAAAATAAGAACTGTCTGTGGAAAAGGGTGATGATGTAACATGAGAGGCTACACACCAACAAGAGCAACGAAATCATTTTCCTTTATGGAAATTTTTGATGTAGTTAGAAAGGTATAGCATTCTTTTGGTAAAGATGATCTAACTGGGATAATCTTGGCAGGTTGAATTTCCAAACTTGGAGACCTTGAAGCTGTATTCAATCAATATCCACAAGATATGGAATCACCAGCTTTCTTACTTTCAAAATTTGACCTCTTTGACCATAGATGGATGTGAACGGTTAACATACATTTTCTCATACCCTGTGGCTATAAAACTTGTCAAGCTTGAACATCTTTCAATTAGTTCATGCAAATTCGTAGAGCAGATATTTGTGCCAGATGAAAACTTGGGTCACATTCATCATTTTAGAAAATCCGCTCCAACTGAACTGGTGAGCATGTCAAGTTGCTTCAAGTTTTTCTTTGCTAATTGTTATTATTAGAATTCAATGTGAACTTGAAGCATGTTATTAACTGTATGATGTAGGTTCCAATTTTCCCCAACCTGGAGACATTTGTGCTTTCTCGATTGGACAGCTTGAAGTCAATATGGCCAGGGCTACTCCCTGACAGTTCATTCTGTAAACTGGAAAAGATGGAAATCTCATCCTGCAATAGTCTCTTGAATGTGTTCCCATGTCATGTGCTAGACAAATTACAAAGCCTGAAATCACTGAATTTATGGAACTGTATGGCACTAGAAGTTGTATATGAAATTGATAATTTAAACACAGAGCAAGAAGGTAGCAGTCAAGGAGGGTTGGACATTCCACTGACAACTTTGTCTTTGGGTAATTTACCAAAGCTAAAGCATTTGTGGAATAAGGATCCTCAAGGAAATATCAGATTTCAAAACCTGTTTATGGTAAAAGCTTCTAAATGTCAAAGTCTAAAATATGTGTTTCCACTCTCTGTGGCCAAAGATCTTCTTCATCTCCAATTCCTTGAGATAAGTGATTGTGCGGTAGAGGTAATTATTGCAAATGTTCAGGGAGGGGTAGAGGTAGCTCTTGGCTTTGTTTTCCCAGAGTTACTGTCCATAAAATTTTTTAATTTGCCTGAACTTCGATGCTTTTGTAATGGAAATCACAACCTCAGATTTCCATTGTTGACTCTATTTTATGCTGTTGAATGCCCTGCAATGGAGACTTTCTCTCGGGGAATCTTAAGGGCCTCAATCCTTAGAAAAATACATTTGACTCGGGAAGGAGATCGGTCGTGCTGGGAAGGTGACCTTAATACAACTATAAGAAAGCTCTTCAATAAAGGTACGTATGTATCAATTAGAATTCTAGATCTTTAATTACGATTCCTGTATTTATGATTTTAATTTGTTACACCATCAAATCTTCAATGTACCGTATCATGTTTTGTTGAATATGCAGATATTCAAGAAAGATTAAGCATTTTATAGAAACTCAAAGTCTGAAGAAGCAAATTCTTTGCTTGCACTTGTACCTGATGTGGGAAGTCGTCTGATTCCACTGGAAATCTTTGGGTGGCTTTCGCAAAGATCAATTGGTTTTTGACTACGTTTGATTTAAGATGTGAAACATGAATCTGTTCTTTAGATTTGTTGTCTGAGATGGATTAAAAGTGAACTTTGATTTTGATTAACATTTCCTGGCTACTGTATGAACTATAAAGATTTAGTTCTGGAGAAGTATGTTAGGAAGCTGTGCTTGGAAGAAAGGACCAATCATGAAGACCATGCAAAAGTAAGAGAAACAGAACATGAGTAGAAGGTTTTCTCAGCATGACTGTATTAGAGGTATAGGTGTCATAAGTGTCAACAGAAATGGTATCACATTGATAAATGCTACAAAAATTAGACATCATTAATTTCAGTAGAACGGGATCATGTAAGTAATATATCAGCAAAAAATTGAGATATTACTGTTCAAAAGTTCTGTACTAATTTATATGAACATTATGTATTGGAAGCAAACATCATTTGGTTGAGTCTTCATATTCTATCTTGCCTCAAAAATTGTGTGGGACATCTCATTTGTGGATAACAGATTGCACATTCTTGATGATACTGATTCAGGTAAACCACTTCTAGTATAAAATCCTGGAGTCTTTGGCTCAGGCAATAATTTCTCACCATTCAGCATAAGAATGACGGAGGACATGTCAGGCCTGTCTTCTTGTTTTTGTTGTACGCATAACAAACCCACATGTATACATCGTATGACTTCACAAAAACTCATTTGTTCACGGTAGTGTTCATCTATCAGTTCCAATGGCCTGTGTTCTGTCCAGAGTCTCCATGCCTATAGTCATGAAAAATAAAGTTGTCACTCACTTTGAATCATTCTGATGTGAGACAATTCTACTAGATAATAAACTTGAAGGTTATGTTGCTTACATGTCCTAGAAGATTGAGAGAATGTTCTGGGTCAGAAAACTTCCTATTTTGCATCCCACTGATTATCTCAAATACAATTACACCAAAACTAAAGACATCTGATTTCACAGAATAACGACCGTATAAAGCATACTCAGGAGGCATGTAACCACTGCAAGAATTGTAAAATAAGTCAAGAACAAAGTTTCTTTTGCATATAAAATATAGACGAAGCATAACTAGAACGTCACTTACTATGTTCCAACTACTCTTTTTGTCTTGTCTTCAATTTGATCACCCCCAAAAGTTCGTGCCAAGCCAAAATCTGAGATCTTTGGATTCATATGGGCATCAAGTAGGACGTTACTAGTCTTCAAATCTCTATGAACAATTCTCAATCTAGAATCTTGGTGAAGATACAGAAGCCCTCGAGCAATGCCATCAATAATGTGGTAACGCTGATGCCAGGTCAAGAGCTTGCTTCTAGTTTCATCTGGTTAATTTCACTTATTTAGTATACTACTTTCTTTATCAATAGGGTTTAATGATAATTTTTCAAGATTTCTACATATGTTTTGTTGTATTGTGTGTTAAGAGACAAACCATAGATGAAGCGGTCCAAGCTATTGTTGGGCATGTATTCATAGATCAATATTTTTTCCTCTCCTTGAATGCAACAACCGAGAAGTTTCACCAGATTTCGGTGCTGAAGTTTTGCTATCAAGAGAACTTCATTTTTAAACTCCTCCCATCCTTGATCAGACATCATTGAGTGTCGTTTTATAGCTACCTCTACCCCATCTCTTAGTGTACCCTGAAAACCATCATTTGGAATACTAGTAAAATCTTCCTGAGAAAATAAAGTTTTGCATATTGTTATATCACCTTATACACTGGCCCAAATCCACCTTCCCCAAGTTTGTTTCTGCTAGAAAAATTATTGGTAGCTTTAGCAATGGTTGACAAATCAAACGTTGGCAGATCGATGTCTTCTTTCCTCAATCTAAAATATTCTTGCCGCCATTGAAAAGGAGCGAAATGACAATAAACTCTTGCCGCCACTAAAATGTGCATGAGAGCATATCAAGAAATTAATTAACATGATAAAAAGTTCTTCTTATTTAATTTCTTCCTCTAGTTTTCCGAATCACAACTGAAAACTATTATATATTCTTAATTAACATACGCAAGTTCAAGTTTGATAATATATATTATAGTTTTCGCTTATTTTTAATTCAGATGCTGTACAGTAAATAATTATCAATCTCATAACATAACAGATATGGATGCTTACTATTATCATATATCTAATATAGGATTTACCTTGTTTTCTGAGTATCATTGTTGAGACACACATAGCAACAAGTCCAAAAGCGATCACACCTAAAGTAATTGCTGCGATCTTTTTCTTGTTTCCATGGCCATTATCTGATAGATACAGAGCATGATCAGTCATTGACTAGCAGTACAATGACTCAATTGAAATTGACAAAGAAGTGAATAGTTATTTCTGATTGAGGGAGCATGTAGAGAATGATAATAATGTATCATTATGTCCTTAGCATATGAAAAAAATGAACAAGTTACAAAACAAAAGCTTCTAACTGTTGACAACTAGCACAATGTTGTAACATTCATTATTTTGTTTCACTTGTTGTGGCTTCCATTTGAGAAAGAACTTTCAAAGATGCAATACTGAAATGTTTGTTGAACTTAGCCCGTTTGTTAGAAGTATGAAATATAGATAGTCAACCAACCAAACATCACACAGGAAAGGGAATGAAGAAAGAAAAGAAAAGAAAAATGAATACCTAGCTCAGAAGCTGGGACACTGATGTAAAGGTCTTGTCCCCATTGAGAGAATCTCCTCATGTCAACCAGATCATCAAACCAAAGTAGACAGCCACTTCCTCCATCACGGATATCTAAATTTGCATATGCTGAACATGAACAATTTTTCACACACGACTTCTGACATTCCTCAAGGTTCATGGCCTTACTAAACCAAGACAAAGAAGTGTCCGGCAATTTCATGTTTGTGTACCTCAGGAAGTAACCAGTGTGGTTTTTACAAACATATTTATTCATTGGAACACAACCACCAGACCAATATGATATATTCCATTGTTCAGGGAATTTAGGAACATATCCTTTCAGGCAGTCGCATTTCGGAGTATTACCATACATATTGCACATAGAATTTACACCACAAAAAGCATAAATATCACAGCTATCTTCTGCCCCCGTTACAATAACTATCTGATCACTTGTTTGGCTTGTCCAAGCTAAACCCTGCAAAATGCCTGAAGGATTCAATCTATATATAACAAACAAGTTTTCAAGGTTTTCATACAGATGATAAACCTCCTTTGTATTCATGACAAATTTGTATATTTGTTTTCCCTTCAACTGTTGTGTTGGATATCCAGTTAAAGCAAGGCCATTCCATGACCCGGGTCTAAACTTCACAGTAGACCCCTTCATCAAAACTAATTGTGGATATCCTCTTATGTCAACCTTGAAAGAATATTCTCCCTTTGCTGGATCATCTGCACTTTTCCAAGATGAAAAATATCTATCTACACCAGTTTCCAAGTTCCATCCAAGCTTCATTCCTGGCATAATTGTATCACCTGGATAATCAAAACTCTGCCACAGAAAGTTCTCCTTCTTAGTGCCCTCACCATTTTTTATCACAAGATTTCCCGAATCCAAGATATGCACAATCGGATTAGTCACTGCTTTGTTTGATATCTTGGACCACCAAACAGTGCTGTTTGCGCCATTGAGAATCACAAGAACCCCCTTTTCATTGAGTTGTAAGGTTCCTAAGTTATTCTTGAGAGGTAATCCTCGGTTGGCCACCCACACCACAGTTAAAGGAGATAGATTCCTGCACCACACACCCAAATAACGACCTGTCGAATTTCCAGGGCTGAAGAAACCCACTTCGAATGTCCCATTTTCTGAAACTAAACTCTCACCATCTTGGATAGATTGACTCACAGATAAACTGTCTAGTGAATTGCAGATTTGAATATAGGAGAGTAAAAGGAATAAACAAAACAACACCATGATGCTAATGCTATCAACCATTTTTATAATTTTTTCTAAGTAATGGCTTGTTCTCAAATTCTATATAACTGCGTAACTCTAGTATGATCAAATTGCGCGAAGGGAAAGAAGATGACTCTAAAAAAACAGAGACATAGTCATAGTGAATGTCAAGGATGATGTAAGCAAACAATAATAGACTACCTGGTTGAAGGTTCAAAGGAGGAGAAAAAAACATACATCAGTTGACAATATTTTCTGCACGTATTATTGTAATTAACTTCTTCCACATGTCAAAACAACAAAACTTTCATCTCTTAATCAATTGCAGATGAATTAACTAAAAAAGCTGATAAAGGAATCTGCACTTCAATTCCACCAGCCACTTTTCTAGACCATTTTTATCGGGACGAAGAACTTCACTATTTTAAGAAAATTAAAATATATTTTATTTTGAATTACTTTTGATTATTGATTATATTTTAAATGTTTGATAAGATAGTTCAAGTTTATTGAATTTTAATTTTTTTATCTAAATAAAATATTATAATTTTTATCAAATATAAAGATATATTTCATATTTAATAATTTTAAAATATAATCCGATTAACAAAACTAAAATTAACCTTACTTGAGGTAAACGAAACAAAACAAATGTGCTTAACATTAGGGTCGAAAAATAAGTACGAAAAGTCGAGGAGGTCTTAACTTCAACCAAGTCCACCACGTTTTCATCCAGACTACATTAATAAAAAAAATAAAAAGATGAATTCAAAAGACGTCAAAATAAAAAAGAAAAAAATATGAATAACTTTAAATTCTTATGTTAAATTTTTTCATTTTTTTTATTTTAAATAATTAATTTGTTTTCTTAAATTTTTAATTTTTTAAAATTTTATATTTCTAAATTCTTAATTTCTTTTTTTAAATTTTATATTCAAACAACAAAACATATTTTTAATTATTTAAAAAAGTGAATTACCTTTTAAAATTTCTCTATCCAAACATGTTATTAGTAAAAAATATTATTTTGGTCAATGCCATATTAATATTTTACTTAAATAATTTTACTTATTTTTATATTTAAATTAATATTTTGTAATTTTTTACTGTAATAAAATTGTTAAAAAAATAAATTTGTATTTTGTTAATTTATAAATTAATTATTGATTTTTGAATATACAAATCAAATAATGGGAACCGGTTTATGAAGAAAGAAAAAATAAAAATAAAATCCTGAGTTGGGCTGCACCTAATCGGTTCAGGCTTTACTTTTTGCACCACACACTCCTCCTGCATATTTCAGAACTTGATAGTCTGACATTTTTCGTACGCTACATATTATCTTTTCCGGAAATATCACCAAATTTAATAATGTGTTTAAACAAGGAATTCTAAAACGTAATTAATTTTCACAGATGATTTAAAAAAAATTATTTGGATAAAATATTTAAAAAAAATTAAAATTTTATAAATTTATTTAATAATTTAATTATTTAAAATTATAAATTTCAAATCTCATACTCAAACATCCTTTTTTAATTTCATATTTCATCTATCTTTTATATTTTTCGTTAATTTAGTATAGTTTAAAGCATTTTTATTGAAAATCCAAGTATTAATTAAAATTTTACATTTCAAAAAGATTGAATATCTTATAAAAAAAATCTAATATAATATTTTAAAAATTTTAGTTAAAATCGGTGTGTTTTTTTATTATATAATTAATTTTTCGTCTTAATAATGAGAATTTCTTCAATATTAAACTCTCTTCGAAAATATACCAACTAATATAAGTTATTTTTCGATGTTAAAATTATTTTTCTGACCTTATGTCAATCCATAAAATCCTCATTCACCTTATGTTTAAAAAAAAAAACTCTTCCCTATCATTGGTTGAAAAATATAATCAAATGATATTTTGTAATTATTAAATATTATTTATTATTAAAATTAATTTATATATTTAGTGGTATTCAAAATAATTTATACAAAATTAAAATTTAATAAACTTGAATTATTCTATCCAAATAAAATAATTTAAACTAAAAACATTTCAAATATAATGCAATTTAATTTCTTTTGAAATTATGAAATTCTCTCTTGGATATAAATTATTTTGATAATTAGATCGAGTTTATGGAGGTGTAGTTAAAAACCATGGATATGTTCATTACCTTTTAGGCTTTTATTATTTACACTCACCTTTTTACTATATTACTGTCCCTTTTGTTTTATTTTTTTAACTTTGTTATCCTAAAATCTCTTTCATATGTATATATAAAGGAATAAACCCTAATATTTATCATTCTACTTTCGTTATCTATTAACATTTTTTTTAAGTATTTTTCAAAACATGGAAATGGAACGAGTAATCTTAAAAACACTTATAGAAAAGTAAAAAAATATATTTTAAATTGTAAAAAAGTTTTTAGGATGTTACCAAAACAAAATGTATTTAGAAAAATATATGCCAAAAAGAATAAAAGGGTATTTTTGTAGAATACTCTTTTTTGGGGGAATTAATTGTAACTATTGAGAATTAATAATTTATCAAGAGGTCTCTTTTTGGATGACTCAAAATTACCTTAACAACCATTTTTTTTTTAAAGATCAAAATAGTTGAACTTGTAAAGTTGCTCTAGACACATAACAAAAAGCATTTTGGATTTGTAAAATATTATATATAATTAAATGATAAATACACTTTCTGCCTCTCTTTTTTCCAAATTGGTATCATAATTTTGTAAAGTTTCTTTATATATATATATATATATATATATATATATATATATATATATATATATATATATTAAAGGGTCTTTATCAAACCAATTTGTTTCTTCCTTTGCTTATTTCACATCATATGGACATGTTTTAATTATTCCTTTTTCACATCATGTGGTCATTTTGACAAAATTAACATTATTAATACCAAAAAAATGTAAAAAGGACTGATTTCATTTAACGAGTTGAAGACACTTACGATACCAAAATAAAATTTCTATAAAATTAAGAGATGAAATTAAATAAAAAAAATTAGAGAGAGTGGTAAATATTTTATCATTTAAACCATCATTCTTTTATTTAAAATTTTATCAGCTTTATATATATATAAAAAATGTTAAACATAAAGTAGCCAATTAAGATATAGGAACGAAATGGTATAATTGTATGACAAATTTAAAAAAGATAAAAGTGAGAAAGAAAAAGGAGAGAATATTCCTCCGAAAAGTGAATTATATAATATCATGGGACTAAAGGAGATAGATATTTGTCTTGATAGAATTAAAGTTGAATTAAAGTACGTCATCAGAAAATTCAACCAAATCCAATTTTCTTTACACGGGGTTTTGCTGAAAAAGGTTAGTTTGTTTTGGAAGTAATGGGATATTTTTTTATCACGAGGATCACAAAATTATTATTATTATTATTATGAAAAAGAAGAAAAGTGCAGGGAAAATATTATACAAAAATAAGTTTGCTATATTAAAATATTTATTGATTTTTATAATAAATTTGCTTAAAGAATGTAAATTTTATTGTTGCATTGTTATATCTATATCTACTCTTTGTTTCTTTCTAGTAACAAAGAAAAAAAAATACATTAATTTTATACATTTTAACGTATAAAAAGTTATATATATATATAAAAAAAAAATCAATCATCTCTTTAACGCGAAAAAACAAATAAGAGATAAGAGATTATATTTAAATTTTTTAATTAATGTTTTTTTATTTGTTTATTATAATAAATAAATAAATCGTATTAAAAAATTATAAAAACAATAAATAAAATTATTAATAATAAATAAATCTTTTCTACTTTTTTACTTATTTTTACCATTTTTTTAATCTAAATAACTTTATCTTTTATTTTATTTTTCAAATTTTTTACTTCCTCGTATCACCTTTTAACCAAATAAAATACGTAATCTATGTTATGAGCAGAATTGAGATTTTATTAAAAAATAAATCAAGTTAAACTTTTTATTAAAGTCCATCTCTATTTAAGAAAAGCAAGTTTTTATAAATAATTTAAAAAGTTGTTTAAACGATATATTATAATAAATATAAATATTTTTTAATATATTATATGGGGTAAATATAAATTTTAATTTAATAATAATATAAAATTTTAAAAGAATAAATTGGTGATTTCCTACATTCATATATTACTTAATTTTATTTATTTTAACTCCAACACTCTTTTTCTACCAACCACACATAACCAAATCACACCATCTTTCTGAACCTCGTAATTGTGAATCGTGAACAGTAACTTACCAACCTATGCCACAGAATCGGAACCCCTTTCGAGCCTTTATCTTTCGGAATGATGATTAATTTGAGGCGGTGAAAAAAAAATTATTTAAATTAAAAAAAAATTATTTAAATTAAAAAAAATTGAGAGAATAAAATAAGAATAAATATAAAAAAATAAAAATAATGAAATATAAATTAATTTTTTAAAAATTATTTAAATAATTAATTAAAAATATCTATAAATTTACTCTTTTTACTTATAATTAAATTTTTATTTATTTTAAGATATACGTAAACTATAAAAAAAAGTTAATAATAAAATGTTACCTAATGATTTAAATTATAAAAAAATATCATAAAAATTAGAATAATTAGGTTGATAAGATATTCGCTAAATTTTAAATAATGTATAAATGATTAATGTATTTAAATAATATATAAATCTCAATATATATATATATATATATATATAAAAGTATATATATCATTTAATAATAATAATTATATGTATGATATAAATCCAATTATTTATTATAATTAAAAATTTAATAAAATAGTTATTAATGTATAAAATCAAACCAAATAGTGCATATGTTACCTTAAAATTATTATATATATTTTTGTCGTCATATTTGCACATATCAATGAAAATTATATGAAATGAAACACAACAAAACGTGGAATAAGAGCATCAATAATGGAAGAAATTATAAGAACCTGAATAGTGATGCATGGTTAACCATATTCTCAAACCCTAAAGTGGATGACCACCCTGTACGTACTATGATTTTCAAAATTTTTGAATGGGATGTGGATTGGAATAACATGTTCTAGTCCTAAAAAAAACTAATTTTTAAATCAAACAAATTCTTTTTTGTCCATTCTCTGATTTTAACTATAGGAGGTAAATATGTTTTAGTAATAAAGGAACCAACTTATTTCACTACAAGAAAAATCAAAATTTCTGACGGACAAAATTCATCGGTAAGTAACACATTCCGTCGGTAAATATATATTACCGACAGATTATCGACGGTCATAAATCCATCGATAATAGTGTTGTCGGTAAAATTTACCAACGGATTTCGCTAGTCCGTCGGTAAATATCATGGGTAACTATCGACGGATTTTTCCGTGGGTAATTTACCGACGGATATATCCGTCGGTAAATACCCATTACATTACCGACGGATTTTACTATTTCGTCGGTAAATGTCATAGATACTTACCGACGGATATTTTCGTCGGTAATTACCAATTATGCGCAAATCTTACCGACGGATTATCCGTCGGTAAATCCATCGATAAAACCACCTCTAGTTCCAGAGTAGTTTATTTTTTTTTTCCATCCCATATAACCTGTAAAATAAGATTCAATCCAGTCCAATTCAATAATATATTCAAAAATTCAATTAAACATAAATCTAACTCATCTTAATCATAAGTAAATTCAAATGTACTGTAATTTATGCATAATGAAACATAATGTATAATCCTAAAAAAAGTATCAACATACAAGTAGAATTGAAATATTATTCTATAGATGTTTGTATAACATTTAATAATGAGAATAATCAGGAGAATGATGTTTTGGTATGTTGTCGTCCTGTGGTGGGTTATCTTGTTGCTCTTCATTCAATTGTTGTTGTTGGGTTGTTGTTCATCATCTGCTTCACTATGTTGACGCTGTTGAACAAGAGATTGTGCACTGGGGGGTAGAAGCACTACTAGAAAATATACTTTCAACGTCGCTGTTTAACGTCGGTTACATCTTAGCCGACGTTGAACATGCTTTCAACGTCGGTTGGTCAACAACCGACGTCGAAAGTCGAATTTTGACACATTCTACGTCGTTTTAGCATGCACGACATGGAAAGTATGCTTTCGATGTCGGTTATGCCCTCACCCGACGTTGAAAACCCTTCTGAACTCATTATGACCGATCAGAATACAAATATGACCGATCAGAATCAAATGTGATCGATCAGATTTTAATTATGAGCGATCAGAATTTTTTCAATCGATTAAAAACACGTTTCAATCGATTAAAATCTCTTA